GGTGGCTGCAGGCTGGGACTTGCCCTGGGCACCTTGTCCTTGTGCCAAGGGCTGGATGCTCATTGCAATTGTAGCGGCTGCCTGAGATAGTGGGCACTTGTTGGTAATAAATCATGCTGACCGGTAACAAAATCACAGCAAGCCTACACATCCAACAGAGATAAATGAAACGTCCCTGTTAAACCTGTTCTTTGTTTGGAAGAGGAGATCTGAGCACAGAAGCGGAGAGGGAGAAGCAGCTTCTCCCTGCCCGGGAGCTCCTCGCACGGGGATGTCTGCAGTGAGGAGCCGTGGGGTCAGCTGCAGGAGAGGAGGCTCAGGAGTGGGAGAAAAGCAGAACAAAAACCCAGCAAAAGGGAATGTGAGGACGGAGAACAAACCAGGAGGCTGGGGAAGTGCAGAAGAGCAGCAGATGAAAAAAGAAGAGGTAGAGAAGATGAAGATGAAAAACAAAACAAAAAAAGAGGCCAAGGAGTCCTCTTGGAGTGTCCACTCACCTATGAAATCATTCGATTTCCCAATATCGTAGTCCCACACTGTGACTTCCAAGGTCTTTTTTGCCAGGTCACCATGTTTTATCTCGTAGCAAAACTCCTGTTGGGGAGCAGAGGCAGAGTCAGGACAAACCCATGCCATGTTCTGCAGGGGCTGGGACTGTCCATCCTCCTCCTTGGGCTGCTGCCCTTTGTCACCCATGGGGAACTCAGCCTCCATCCCTCACCTAATGACTGATGTCATGTTTTCTTCTTTTGTTTTTTCACTGATAAAAGCCCCCTTGGCAAGAACCACAACCGGTGAAAACCCACCTCATTAAACTCAGGGTTCAGTGTCTTCTTCTTCACCGCTGTCTTATGCTTTGACTTCTTGTCCTCATCTGGTTTCAGGTAACTGCAAACGCAACCAAAGCAGCACGGTCACACATGGGACACATACCCCTCTCTGAAGCCTGGGCACAGGTCAGGGAGCAGGGGCAGGTGGGTGGCTGAGTCCCCCAGACCTGCCCGTCCCTCCTCCCCTGCCCAGATGCTGGAGATGGTTGGGGTGCAGCGGAATTTCTCCCCATCAGTCACCGGCTGCTGTCAGAGAGCACCGATTATCCCATCTCCAGTCCCTAGGGGACACTGGCACAGCACACATGCCTCCAGCTCCCCAAATCCAACACTCCCAGCCCAGAACCAGTCCAGACTTGGGGCTGTGCGACTGCTCTGCTCATCCAGAGTCTTTGCCAGAAGACAGAAACCTCACGCCGGGGTCTAAGGTGGAGCAGGAGCAAGTGCAGCGGCTGCAGCTTCGGGCACTGCTGTTTCCTGCAGATATTTTGCACGGCAGCAGCAGGGCCAGGAAGCAAACGAGACTGAACTGTCATCAAAGCACAGAGGGCACCTGAAATCTGGGCCAGGCCAAAGGAAATCCATCATCGTTTTGTGTTGGTGCTACTCCTTTAAGCATCAGTTCTGCTGCCTCGTTATACTTTCCAGATCTTGCTCATAATTAAAAAATTAGGACTTGTACCGAGAAGCATCACTTGTCTATCTGCTCTCATTCAAGCCCTGCAGATAGAGTCTACTCCAGATAGCACAGGGGGCACCTACAAAACCACTGCGTGCAACAACGGGAATTATGTTACTTCAGGGACTGAGCCTC